GTAAAAGAGAGGGGGCGGGGGCTGGAGAGATGGCTCAGAGGTTAAGAGCACTGGCTGCTCTTCCAGAGGTCCTGAGTTCAATTCCCAGTAACCACATGGTGGCTCACAACCATCTGTACTGAGATCTGGCGCCAGGGCATACATCGAGGCAGAATGTTGTATACATAATAAATAAATCTTTAAAAGAAAAAAAAAAAAGAGAGGGGGGGCGGGGGAGGGGGGAGAGGAAGCATTTCCCAAACCATTCAAAAAACAAAACAAAACAAAACAAAAATAAAAAACCACCAAAAAACCCAGGCAGACAGCAGATGGAGGGACGCTTTGCAGGCTGGATAAAACATTTGAACAAACATTCGAACTTTATTTGTGGGCTGATGGAAATGTGCTGAGGATAGCTGGGCAGGCACTCAGGGTGAGTTGACAAAGGTGGAATAGGGAGGCCACTGCACTGGGAGAGAATCTTGAGAAGCCACGTTGATGGGGGCAGTAATGGAGAGAAGGCTTCACAATGGAGGGACTTTGCTGTATCTGAGGGGCCCTGGGTGACAGTCTTGAGTTAAAGAGAAGGGAGGACTCAGCGAGATGATTAAGACGGGGGTGGGGGGGGATGGTGGTGACACTAAAGAGATGGCTCAGTGGTTAAGAGCATTTGCTGCTTTCAAAGAGGTCCAGGGTTCGATTCACAGCACTCACATTGTGGCTCACAAGCTTCTGTAATTCCAGTTCCAGAGTTCCCTCTCCTGACTTGTGCGGGCACCAGGCATGCATGTCAGATACACAACCAGGGCTGAGGGCATTACAGGATGGAGAGTGCTTGTCAAGCATTCACAAGGCCACAGCTTGAATCTCCAGCACCACATAAACTGGGCATACTATTGCACACCTGTAATGCCAGCTAAGCGGGAAGCGCAGGAGCTCAAGGCCATCGTTAATTATGTCTGAGTTAGAAGCCCACCGGGGTCCCTTTTCCCAGTCTCTTTCTCTCAAACACACAATAAATAAAAATAAAGACTTTGATACCATATTTTAGATGTCCGCAACACTCCCGACCCCTGCCAGTGTTGGGGATCAGATACCACCTGAGTTATACCCCAGGCCATGTGTGTTTGATCTTTTGAAGATACAAATGCCTCCTAAATTAGCTGTAGGTTATTTAATTGGCTTTTACTTTCAATATCTTTTTTTGGTGAAATAACTTGGTGAGATCTTTTCTCCAAACTCCCAAAGCATGTCTTCTCTCTGCTTCACCTCATCCAACCTTGTCCTTTTCCTCCTTCAGAGAAGCAATCTTGCCCACCTGAGTGGTAGATGTTAATACCAATTTGCCTAAGGCTTGATGTCCACAGCCACGGAGTTAAGTGGCAACCCAACAGTCCACAAATATCAGAGAGGCCAGTGTGGCTGAGGAACCAAGTACGAAGGTGAGGCCAGAGCCTGCCCTGAAGAACCTCTAAGCCCTTCCAAGAGCATGGGGGACAAGGGATGCTTTTAAATGGGGTGGCAGAGCAGGGGTCTTGAAGGCAGTCGCCCCTGCGACTCACAAAGCATGTTTCCAGTCCTTGCCACTGAAATCGCAAGAACTGGATGGGTCCTGGGTGGGGAGAGGAAAACACACTGGGAGGGTATTATAAAACCTATGGGCCGGTCAGTCTTTTGTGTCCTTTTGTGAAGGAGCACATGTGGACTTGCAGCGAGCGGCTTGTTCCTTTGCTGTTTAATCTGACTCATCTCCTTTGTAAACAGTAAGGTTACTGACGAAGAAGAAAGCTCAGTAGGTACGGTGCTTGGTGCTTGCCACCGAGGCTGAGGACCTAAATTAGGCCCCCAAGACCCATGTGATGGAAGGAGAGAACGGAAAAAGCCAGTTCTTACAAGTTGTCTTCTATACACACATTGTAGTATGTGTGTGCACTTGCACATACATACAATATGAATGAATGAATGAATGTAAAAAAAATTTTTTCTCTGTAGCTTTGGAGCCTGTCCTGGAACTAGCTCTGTAGACCAGGCTGGCCTCGAACTCACAGAGATCCACCTGCCTCTGCCTCCCAAGTGCTGGGATTAAAGGCGTGCACTACCACCACCCAGCTTTAAATTTTTTTATTTCATGTCCACTGGCATCTCGCCTTCACTGTGTAAGGGTGTCGGATCCCCTGGAACTGGAGTTACAGACAGTTGTAAGCTGTCATGTGGGTGCTGAGAATTGAACCCAGGTCCTCTGGAAGAGCAGTCAGTGCTCTTAACCACTGAGCCATCTCTCCAGCCCCATCTGTGACATTTTCAAGGGTAAAATGTCACCACTATAACTCCTGTTATTAACAGCTTTATAATACTAAATATTCATTGCTTAATCCTAAGACTGGAATTTTTGTTTTATAAAGGATATGTAACACTTTCTATACCTTTAAATATATATTTTAGTGGGGCTGGAGAGATGGCTCAGAGGTTAAGAGCATTGCCTGCTCTTCCAGAGGTCCTGAGTTCAATTCCCAGCAACCACATGGTGGCTCACAACCATCTGTACTGAGATCTGGCGCCCTCCTCTGGCGTGCAGGCATACATGGAGGCAGAATGTTGTATACATAATAAATAAATAAATCTTTAAAAATATATATATATTAGTTCACTACGTATAGGTGGGAGAAATGTAAAATTAAAAAAAAAACATGCTAAAGCAACCCTCACTAACATTATTAGATTGACAGTGGGCCACGCTTTTCTTCTGGTTTATAAACATTTGGATGGAGGATTAGATACATTTGCTGTTTGTTAGTCAGAAGGCAAGAAGCAATGGAGAATTAAATCATGCAGAGAGAAATCTAGGCATCTGAGCCCTTCATACTTAGAGTGTGATTCATGGCCAGAAGCACTGGCAGCACCTAGGAAGTTGCTGGAATTAAAAACTCTTCAGCCTCACCCGGGACCCACTGAGTCAGATGCTGAATCTCAACATGACCCCAGGGTCAACTTCAAGGAGCACCTAGATATCTAAGTGCCGTCCCTCTGCACCTCTGGGGGGTGATGATTGTGCCTCAGGAGTGGCACACATCATCACCCAGTGTGCAAGCCCAGAGACCAGCGGGAAGGTAGGGCTGGGGTTGTGAGCAGCTCTGGCTCTGCCAGTATTGCACATGGTGACGGGAAGCAGATATGGATACGTCCTGCTCTGTCTTTAGGAGCTTCGGGTGTGAAACCTGTTCAGAGGATCGTCAGTCTTTCCACAGGCCACTTACTGGTTTAAAAGCTGAAGGCAGCCAGGAGGTTGGTGGCCCAGCATTCAGAAGTCAGAGGCAGGCAGACCCTTGTGAGTTCAAGGCCAGCCTGGTCTACAGAGGGAGTTCCAGGACAGGCTCCAAAGCTACAGAGAAAGCCTGTCTCGAAAAACAAAACAAAAAGAAAGAAAAACAAAAGAAAGAAAAGAAAAACCACAGTTCACCACACCTGCATCAAAGGCTGTTCTCAAAGTTTCTAGCTTTGCCTAAAGTTCTCTTCAGCATAAAGAACAAGCTGATGTCAACATGGGAGAAGTTCAACAAAGCTACTGTGTTCTGCTTACTTCTTGGAAGCTCAGACTACAGAGAGCTGTAAGGAACACACTGGGTCTGGACAGGCTCTGGGGCTCAGGACCCTCGAAGGGGCTAGAAGTCATGGGCAGTACTGCAATCCCTCCTTCATGCTATGTCTGTTCCTGCCTGGAATGATCCAGAGGCCTCAGAGGCCTTGAAGCCAGCTATGACCAGGACACAGCAGCGTTTGGGAAGAGATTCCTATCTGCAGAAGCCAAACCACACTGCCAGCCTTCAGAGACTCATTGCTTAGATCACACTGGCCTTGAACTTGTGGTTATCCCACCTCTACCTCCAAGCACTGGGACTCAACATGTATACCACCACACATGGATTTTTTTTTTTGTCTAATTTTTTTTAGGTTTATTTTATTTCTCTGAGTGTTTTGCCTACATGAATGTATATTTACCACATGTATGCCTGGTCCTCTCAGAGATCAGAAGAGGGAATCAGATCCCCTGGAGTTTTGGATAGTTGTGAGACACCATGTGGGTGCTGGCAACTGAATCAGGGTCCTCTGAAAGAGCAGTTTCATCACCAAGCCATTTCTCCAGCCCAGATGTTTTGTTTAAAGGTGGTGTATGGAGCTGGGGGTGTAACTATATTGGTAGAGCGCTTGCCTAGCAGGCATGAGGCCCTAGGTTCAATCTCCAGCATAATAAACTGGGCTTGGTGGCACAGGGCCTAGGACCCCAAGTCTTGAAAGTGGAGGCTAGAGAACCAGATGTTCAAGGCATCCTCAACCACACACAGAGCTTAAGTCTATCCTGGGTTATATGAGATCCTATCTCAAAATGCAATAAAATAATAAAATGGAAATGAAATAAAGGAAATTAAGAGATGGGTTTGTTTCCTAGGCTGGATTTGAACTCCCAGACTCAGGTGATCATCTTCAGCCTCCCAAGCAGTTGGAATCACAAGCAAACAGCACCATGCCAGGCTTGGTATTACCCACCCCTCCCTTTCCTTTTTTCTCTCCTTCCCCTCTACTCTATATGGGGATGGATCTATTCCATCCTGGGTGGAGCCCAGGGCCAACCACTGAATTATACTCCCAGCCCCAGTCTGCTATTTTCCAATAGGGGAGAGGGAACGAAAGATCTGCCAGGCCATGTCAAAGATAAGACTCCTGATTTGATGCTGACATTCTGTGTAGGTACTGGGGTAAGCATCACATCCCACGAGCCAACCATTTTTTTTGTTTGTTTGTTTTGTTTTGTTTTTTTCGAGACAAGGTTTCTCTGTGGCTTTGGAGCCTGTCCTGGAACTAGCTCTGTAGACCAGGCTGGTCTCGAACTCACAGAGATCCACCTGCCTCTGCCTCCCGAGTGCTGGGATTAAAGGCGTGCACCACCATTGCCCGGGCGAGCCAACCATTTTTCATGACGAATTAGTAATTGGCACCCCCCCACACACACACACTAAACCCTAGCCTCATCCAGAACTCATTTGAAATTTTATTGTTGTTCCAGGTTACATGGTCTGTGCTTGCTGCTTGATCTTCCTCACCTTGTCTATTGTTATCCTGGCGGGTCATTCGGTCAGCAGAACTATAAAACCAAGAGGCAACCGTGTAAGAGGTCTCATCGAGTCTCATAGACAAACTGATGGATACAGCCAGACATGGTGCTACCTGCCTTTAATCCCAGCTCTCAGGAGGCACAGAAAGGTGAATCCCTGTGAGTTTGAAGCCAGCCTGGTCTGTGTAAGGAGTTCCAGGACAGTCAGGGCTACATAGAAAGTCCCTGACTCAAAACGACAACAAAAATAACATGGTGGTCACAGACCACTTGGTTGGACTTTAGTTCTCCCACATGGCAGTGGACATGAACTAAAAATACTGTCAGAAGACAAGATATAACCTCCCTTGGGTCCTGCCTTTCCAACAGGCACAGAAGAGCAGACAGAATATACCCTTTCCCCATAGCAACCATCATTACTCCACACTGATCTTTGCTAGGCCATGGTAATGTGTTTAAATACATTTCACCCAGTATCTTTTCTATGTTCTTCTTAAATTACATTTTTTATAATTGTGTGTGTGTGTGTGTGTGTGTGTGTGTGTTTCACTGGAGATCAAACCTAGGACCTCATTCATATCAGAACATGCTCTAGGCCTGAGCCACACACCCCCAGCAAAGAGTATCTGGGAGGATTCTGTTTGGCCCTCACCACTGAAAACCAGACCATTGCCCCTGCAGGAGCCAGGCCCCTAGGTCACAGCACTTGGTGGTAAAAAGCCTTTTCCAGAGCTTCCTAAAATGGACAGGACACTCAGGTCACCTCAGGGCTACTCTACTGTGACAGGGCTCAGCGTCCCCATCTTAGCCTTGTGTGGCCAGGTTCAAGGGCAATAGCCTTTGTGAAAGTGTTTCACAGAGGTCTGGTCTGAGTGCACAGTGCTCCTGTTCCCCTTCCCTCTGGTCCCTAGGAAGCCAAGCCCATCCATGTTTAACAGAAAGCCTTGCCCACCCTATAATAAACTCTGAGCAGCCACCCATCCCAGCTACTGCCCTTCCGAACTAACACTTCCTCCCCAGTAACCACCTGCCACCGTTACTGTACTGCAGGCTGGCGAGCCTCCCGCCTGCTAGCACGGGGCCCTCTTCCTGTCTGTACGTATACTATTCCTCATGGAGGGCAGCATCTGGGGATGACGGGGAGGGGGAAAGACACGAGCATACAGACCTTCCAGCGATTCCCACATTCGTTGCATAAAACAAAGGTGGTCATGGGCTCGTCAGCACTGCGCGTCTGCACCTAACGGAGAGAAGAATCATTCATAAGGTCCCCGCACCCCCCACCACCACTCTAGGGCCCGCTGTGGCACCCGCCATCTTCAGAAGTAAATTCAAATCCCACAGGCTGTCACTGATATTCACAGGACTTTGGTAATCTCCTTGACATGGATGTATAATCTCTTTTCCTCTGGTCATCCGTCGCTCACTCAGAATCCCACTGCCTCAGCCTGGCCTTTGTACTTGTACTCTTGGTGAGCCTTCTGAACCCGTTTCTCTTCTTTTGCTCCAAGCCTCACATCTTACAAGAAACCTTCCCAGACTCACCCCCTGAACACACTGTATCTGACATGCCTGTCTGAGCAGAGGTGCCTGGGAAATCACCTTGTCTATTATCACCCTGCAAGTGGCTGAGACCCAGAGAGGAAAGGGGGCTTGCAGATCACCAGGATGGGTTGGGTAATGCTGTGTTTCCCTATATCCAGTCCTCTATGTCCTTCAGGTTCAGAGACATGGGTTTCCACCCCAAGACCCTGGAGTTCCAGCTGCCCTTCTGACTCTCTGTAAAGGCAACCTGGTGGCGTCTGCCAGGATCAGCAGTGGGGGCAGAGCCCTCTGCTGGTATGTGGCTCCAGCTGTCTGTCAGCCTTGTCGCCACACCCACAGCGGTAAGGAGGAAGAGCAGGAGTGGGCTTTTGCAGGATAGACTTAAACATTGCTAGCTGAGCAGCTCACTTCTGAAGGGCAGTACCGTGCAAGTGCCCAGAACCCTGTCTAGAACAGACAGGAAGGAACACAGGAGCTTACACAGATGTCCCCCAATTCCAGAACTGGAACCCTTCAAGAGAACTTTCCAGAAAATAAAATGGGTAACTATACTTCCACTGTAGCCACAGGATACTGAGGGCAAAGTGCTCCTGCTAGTCCCTCCCCACTTTTGAGGCAAAGTCTCATATTTATTTATTTATTTATTTTTAAAAGATTTATTTATTTATTTATTATGTAT